TAACAGCTCATGATATATTTTGTAGGTTTGTTTTGGATGGCCGTGAGACAGTCTCTTGCGGTTACCCCTTATATTTTAAAAAAATAAAAATATTTTTTTATACTTCTTGACGTCTTCACTTATCCCCTCCCCCATGAGGACCCACCTTGACGTGGCGGGGGGGGCTTGCGTCCCTCAACAGTTCCGAGAGCTATGCCAACGATAGTTTACTACCAACAGGGTCTCCCATGTTGGACAGGTTGACGAACCGAGGGCTGACAAAGCGGTCCTCGACAAAGGGTAGGACGGGCTCTTCAGCCTTGGGTGGCAGCCGTCCTAGAGGAAGGAAAACCTTGATTAAAAACCTCCTGGCAGTAGGGTAAAAATGTAGTGAAGGATATCACTTAAAAAACCAAAATATGAACTGTTACAAGTCATGTATCCCTACCACCTCAGGGGCTTCGGAACCCCATAGGTCGGCAGGAGTGGGTGGTTCCGGTGTCAAAACCGGAACCAACGTAGCGGGCCCACTCCGGTCGTCATCCAGCGACCGCGAGGGTGTGGGGGTGGCCGTCCAGGCCCCCGCTACTCTATCCAATACTGGAATGAGGAAAAGACGACTAGATAGTATGGAACAGTCCTCCAAGTCGGGTTGGTCGGGATATTATAAATCTTCCAAAAGGAAACCACACAACAACACTTGTGGAAAACTATCGCTATACGATCAAGTTGATCAACTGTTCTTAAAGAAGTTTACAATGGATAAGTCCAACAAGTGGGAACTTCCAAAAACAAACACTATGTTGAGTCGAAGGAAATGGGAGGTAAATAAATATATATTATTAATTAAAACTATATGTATAATTAAATTTTAATCAAATTTATACATGCAATACAATTTATTTAAACTTATCATGCCACATATTTGTGACCAAACTTTAAAAATAAAGATATTCCCCCTATAGCATTGTACACGTTTATATTATATTCAAATTTATTTCGGTATGAAACTACGTTTACAAATAGTACAGTGTTTATGACTTCAAATATATCCCTGTGTAGATTATACTATTGCCTATTAATTATCCTTGTGAACAAACTATTTACCCACTAGTATGATTATATTTTGAAACATTAACAATTTTTCAATTTAATGACTAAAATGTTATGTAATTTTTAAAATTATATGTTTAATAAATGAAATGATAAATTTTGAAAGAAATTAAGAGAGGGATAACGCACTTCTTATAGAAATAAGCTGTCCTCAAGTCTTCCTCACCATTTTTTTCTTACCTGACTATTTGGAAAAATTATAGAAGTCTCAGTCATGTACTTGTTAAATTGAATTATGATTAAGTATTTATTTATTTATTTTTTCTTTTAGTTATCAGATTTTATCACTTTAAAAAAATCATTAAATATCGTCAAAGATAAACTTGATGATTTCAACTTGACCGAATGGCATAAAAATACCAAACAAACTAATCCAACCGATAAAGTTCTATATAAAGTTAGAGGAGCTGGGCGTCCTGAACTATTGACTACAGCTTGGTTGAAGTTTTATGAAATATTAAATGATAAGGATGTTATACCTCAAAAGAGTATTGATGGTGGTAAACTCTGCAGTGTTCATCTTTGTGAAGCTCCAGGAGCATTTATTACTGCTCTAAACCATTTTATTTTTAACAGAGATATTAATGTTGAAGTAAGTGATCTTATTTTTTAACCAACTTATTATTTATTTTATTATTATTATTTAATTTTTTTTTTTTTTTTTTAGTGGGATTGGATTGGTGTTTCTTTGAACCCGTGAGGGAAATGATAGTACTGATATGATTAGCGATGATAGCATAAGCGTGTGCAGACATAACTGGCAGGGTAGTCAAACATAACACATTATCATTTAATATTAACAAAAAATTTGCATTCATAACTTAATTTAACTTAATAACTATATTTCTCCAGTATTCTTACATTTTTTTTTAACGTTAACTAATGTTTCGAAGTGGTTGAAAATAATATGTTTATTTATTATTGTGATCATATTGAATATTTTGGTGAGGGTGGGAAGTTTCACAGAATAGTCAAGTACCTACCCTGACTACACCGTGTGCACGCTTTTGGATGATAGATTCATGTTTCATACAATGAGCCATTGGTTTTTCGGTAATGATCAAACAGGAAATATTTTCCAAAAAAATTTAAAAAAGATAAATGATTAGAGAAGACATTTACATCGACAAGTTGAGTTTTTAGAGAAACCGCCCGTTGACGAAACTTCTTAGAGCATTTCATTATTTGTTTGTAGAGGTTAAGTGGAGAAAACAACGCGGCATCAATTTATTTTCAGCCTTTTGGGGGAGGCACAGGAGAAGGGATATCGGATATAGGTAAATATAAGTCTTTTTTGAAGTCGTTTGAATGATTATTTTAGGAATTATGTTACCAATTATAGTAATTTGTAGCGAATAGTATGCACGAATAATTTGTAGCAATGTATGTTATGCAGGGCCGTCCCAAAGGGTGGTCTTGGGGTGGGTGTTTCCCCCCCTTCTCAACGAAAATACCAGTCGGCGTTCGGACTTGTTTTATTATAACCTAAAAGTACTTAATTTTACTTATGGGAAATAAATATTATATATTTCGTAGTATAGTGTATACACGAATAAAATTTATAGAACTACTTATTATACAATATAAAATATTATATACGAGTACATAATAATTATATTGTCATATAATTAAACTGTCAATTTTAAGAACGTGCGACATTGACAGATATATACATGTTTAAAGTAAAAATACAACTACATATAGTTAATTATACAGGTATTACATACATTGAGTAAAAAAATTATAGTCAGTAATATTTTTCATATTATTCACCCCCCTTGATTTTCATCTTCGGGACGGCCCTGAAACCTGGGGCACGAATTGTTTTATATAATATTATTATTTATTTGTAATATCGTAGATCTATCTACATTTTTCTAATATACCTAGTAATCTATAGCAAGTATAGATCTTGATCAATTAAAACTGGAACTTCAACATTTTTCAAAAGTCTACCTAAACATATCCAATCCAGTAGAGAAAAGAACAAAATTAATATACTCAGAGTACGAAACCGAAGAGAAAAGTGACATGAAAATCGAATTAGAAAACAAAGTAGTTGATAGTATCTATAAAAATATGTTTCCTTGTAAGATTGATAGTGAGAATTTTCGTTTTATTTACAATGTTTATTTAATCATGATCAATAATACGATATGGTTTATGTTTTCAGGTAATGCAATTTACAGTAACCACGACAAAAAAAATTGCTTGCATTGTGTCTAAGTTTGATCTATAATTTAAATTTACATGTGTCTGCTTATACTACACTATGCGAAACGTATGCATTTTTTTTTAATTTTATTAATTACAGAAGTTATCTGTGAACGTACATTTAGTAAACTGAAACTCATTATAAATAGATTAAAATCAAAAAAATTTGGAGTCTCTGCTTTTAATGTTAGTAAAAAAAGAGCTGTTGGGTGAAATAGATAAGTCGTTAACTATTTAAAAGAATCATCCACCATTATGCATCTAATGTTGAATTTATAAATTTAAATTTAAATAATAAGCATTTGATATTTCATTCATTCATTTATTACCTATATTTATATAGGTAATAAATTTTAATAATAAATTTAATTTTTTAAAAAATTTAAATTAAATTTAAAATTAAATTTTTTAATTAAATTTTTATAATAAATTTTTTACCTGTATTTATTTATACTCGTATTATTATTATAAACTATTTATGCGAAAATAAGGAATTCACTATTTTGTGGTAATAATGTATTTGATGAATTTTTGTGCTGCAATTATATTTGACGTAAAAAAAGACTAAATCTAGCCACCTAGGGTCGTTATAAATGTACGTAAAGGCTGTAAAATTTGCCAATCATAAACTTGGATTAAGGTGGAGGACAGAGGGGGCCATGGTCGCGGGCCCACAGCGAATATCAAACAATAGTAAGCCCCTGGTGGATAGTAGGTTTTATCGTTTTTTAACTCTATTAAGCTCGTATAAAAAACAAGTATAAAATAGTATATAGTTTTATGGTTTTGTGTTTAGAGAGTAATGTTTTAAAGGTAATTAATACCGATGATATAATGAAAGGGTTTGTTTTCCAAAAAGAAAGAAAAAATTATTTATATAAATAACATTTTTATTTTTTGTATTAATTGATGTTTCTCCCGTAGAAGTTTTATTTGATTTGGTTAATTTAAGTGGTGGAATTGTTTTCTTAGATAATGGTTTGTCGGCCGAAGCCAAACCAATATAGGTAACGACTGAGATAGTGAGTTGCTTGGGGACCTAAACCGCCAAGGCATCAACGTTAGTGGACTTTATACGATAACAAAATATTATACATTACCGATTTGAAGCAGCGCGTCATAATCCAACGATTATGCTATCGGGAGCTATAAAACGGGGCGTGTAAATTAATGTGTGGTCTCCTCAACGATTAAACATGAACTGTGCAAAAAATGTTTAAAATTTTTTTTGAATTACAAGGAGGGGTTGAAACTTGTCCTTATCTAATTTATAGGCATTTATTGAAATTTTTATTATTAAATACTCTTTAAATTAATTTGATTAATCTATATACCAGTTTTAATTACAAAATACAATCAAATTTAAAAATTTACCAAACAGAAGCATTAATATAATAATTAAAATTGTTATTCCAAAAATGATGAGAAAAGAAAATTATATTTCATAGAACAAAAAAAATATCTAAAGGAATACTTAGTCTTGGATTACATTGAAGTTAAATATATATATATAGATATATGTCTTTTAAAAACATATTATGTATGTTCATAGATTGTGGAATGTGAATGTATCACGGAGTAGTTTACCACTTAATTTTATAAGAAAGTCTAGGAATAAAAAAAAGAATGTAGCGTAAAACATTTTAAAAAATCATTATAATTATTTCATTATTTCACTGTACACAATACCCAAATAATGTATTTATGAAAACCTATATTGACAAAATCTTACATATTTAAATGTAGATAATATTTTATAATTACTGTATTAAAATTTCAAATCTTTATCCATGATAACAAATGATGGAACTAGAGTTTCATTGTATTCAGAAGGGTTTAAGTAATCACGTTCAGTCACTGTATCAAGTGTGTCATTCAATACTTCAGTGTGCAAATGAGATGACTTTAATATGGGAAGACGTCCAACACTTTCAAATACTTTTTGTTCCATAGCTAAACGTAAAGGCATGTGCATGCCTTGTGTAATCATCAAACCTTTAATAAGTGTTTTGCTTTGTTTTGCGTTATACTGAAACACATAATTGTATTTGATTATAAATACTAAATGGTAAATATAATTTAATAGAATATATTTCACAATTAATTACAATACTTATTACAAACAAAAGTATTTATGCAATTTTAGAAAAATAAATAATTTGCTTTGATATCTATTTTTATTACAAGATTCATTTTTAGAATTAAAATTAAGTCATGATTAAAATGTGAACATTTTCTAAACAATAATGAAGTAAAATTTAATTTAAAATTCATTATTGTTCAACACGGAACATTGTACACACTACTTTATATGTAACAAAAAATATTAATGATAAAAATAATTTTTTTGTGTGTGTAAAATATTAATATATGCCACAAATATTTTATAAGTCTAATTCTTTTTTAACATACTTCATAAAATGGAGTTAAATGCATACAAATTTGCGTTATTTGAGGTCATACTATTCAAGATATTTTATATTTTCGATTATTCACTGTCAATTCAAAGTTAAAAGATGTAAGTAGCAATTTTGAAAATATTATAATTACAGTATAAACATTTTGATAAAATATAATCTTGGTATTTTTACTATATTCAATAAAACTTTTATTTTATGTATTATAAACGATTTAAAGTATAAGGTTTTATTGTTTATAAATACATCTATAAATGGTTGATGAATAATTGATTACAATGAATATACACTCTAAACTACTATATGTATTTATATTTATATTTTCATAATGTTGTGACATTAATTTTCATAGTTTTTATTTCAAGCAATAACTTTTTATCTAAGATGTAAGAAGATTATGTAACATATTATTATAAATTGAAAAATGTTGTATTATAAACCTATAATTGTGATGTATACTCTGGTTTCATTCTGGAATAATGTTTTGCAACAAATATTTGATATCAATGGAAGTAAGTTATTAATTTACTCACATTTTTTAAATTTTGTTGAACCGGGTGATAGGTTTCTTGGAAATTTTTTGGCCTGGCATTATTGGCGCTAAATCATAAAATACAAATGTTATAAATTTATAATCAAGAAAAATAATCATAACAATTCAACTTACCCTAAAATGGCAAAGTTACCAAGAGAATTGTCAACGAAATCCTACAAAGAAAAAAAAAATGGCAATCAAACGATAAATATTTATCAAGTGAAACAACAATCGTATACTTCTCTTAAGTAAAGCAACTTACCATTATTGTTTTTGAAAATTGTGTTCAAACAAAATATTAAATCGAAGAAAACTTTTTACAATTGACAATGATTGCAATCACTTAAGACCGACAGTTACCTTGCAGTTTTTGTAAATCACAAACATTACTTTGTCATTATCGTGATAATCTGTTAAGTTGATAGCTAAAACTCAGTCAGTGTGACCACTTCAGTAACGTCCTGCGAGGGTCCTAGCACTAACGTACAGATGTCGCTAAACATTTAAATGGTAAATATGTTTCTAAATAATGCCAGAGTTGAGATTTTTGTACGTTTCATTGAGTACTTATTATTTATTTCGTTTAATCGTATGTTTATTAAAGAATACATACGTCTCCATTATTATTATTTCAGTTAATTATTATTTATTATTTGTGAATAAATATTGTGTGCGATAATTATCTGCGGTTAAGAAGACAAAAAAATCCTAACTAGCTTAAACAGCATAGGCGTGCGCAGACTTCTTTTTCAGAGTATGCAAAAGGCTGACATTGCCTACTCCCCCTTTAAATTGAAAGTTAATTTAAGCATTCAAAATTCTGGTCTTAATAACTATTTAATTTAAAATTTTAATTTTTTTTCCTGAAAAAAAATGACTGAATAGCCATTTCGCCATCGTTATAACTGTCTTCATAATTAAAATTTAAAATAAATTACGAAAAAAAAAATTAAATGCATAACACTTGAAATTGTTTGAGTAATACGTTTAAATAGGGTAAATAAATAAAAACGTAATTAAATATTTAAATGAAAAACAAAATAAATTTGATAAGTAATCAAAATTAATCATAAAACGATTCTGCGTAAAGTTGAGTTCTTAATATCACCAATAATGTTTTCGCGATTTTAATTTATAGCCATTTCTTACTCTATAGTTGATAGCTATTTAATCTCCCTTGAATTATTGTACTTCTTAATTTCATTAACACGTTAAATCGTTATTATAGCATATGATTTGTATTTCAAAAATAAATTAAACTGTCTGGAACTGAATATAAAAATATAATAAAAATCATAATGTAATACAAAATCACACAATATACATAAAACCAAATATGTCACAATTATTATTTATTTTTTGTAATTTCAGAAAGAATGCTCTATGTTTAGGGTATGCAGTTGCATACCCTGCATACCTCCTGCGCATGAATATTATATATTTATAATATATAATAATATAATTTATATATTATATATATATATTTATAATATATAATAATATAATATATATATATATATATATAAAATCTTTCAGAGAGAGAATTATATTTTATCAGATGAACGAACAGTTAAATCACTTTTCGTTTTGAAATTATTAATGTTCAATTTTTACCAAAAAACGTTTGATGTTTTAAGTTTCATCAAAATTAATAGCTTAATTACTAGTCTAGTAATAATATGTTAAGTAAAATGTACTTAATTAATATACATCTTTTGTTAATTTGATATGTTGAGCATAAGTTGATGGACGCGGATTTTTAATATATTAAACTGTCATCTTTTTAAGAAATTTTGAATTAAAATAAAACCCTGACAGTTTAGAGTTTTATGGATGATTTTATCATTACTCCGTAGACAATTAGTTAGCTATTTTTTAAACGTCACGTTTAGCATAAGAACGTGAATAATACTTAAAAGCGAATTTTGGCTGTAATGTTATTAAATATTTTTATTTACTTTAATTTCCTTTACTATTTTAGTTACTTTGGACGTTGAGCGTACCTACTAAGAATTTGCGGTGTCGTAAATATGTGTTTTAAAGTTAGTTTCATCATATTTGAGTTATTATTGTACCTATTATGTTTACTTAAAAATTAATAGTTCATTAAACTCTTCCATGAACTATTTTTAAAATAATTTATTAGGGATAAAAAATACTAATTCTAGGCGTGTTATTGACAATTTTTATATATACTTAATACTTAGTACGTACTCAGCGATGTATGAAAAATTTTTAACAACCAAAATGTATAGCTTTGAAAAACTATTTTTAATCTCTTTCCTCACGTATTTCCATATTTGTTTTCTATTTATATTTATCAAACAAACTTATTTTATGAAAATAATTGTAAATATTCTATATTAAATTCTTAATTTAAATAAATTAAAACATAATCTAATGAACTTGTAGCACAAAAGTAAAATATTATTACGGAGAGTTTAGAAAGCGCAAATTATTATGAAAGTTCGTGCGAACGTGTCCTCCGTCTGAATCCTCGTCCCTTCAACATCCTCATATATGATTAGAAATTATATCTATCATAACCATAAAGTTTCACAGTGCAATATTATTAGTTGCTCAAAATATCTATTTTTGTAAAGAATATATTTTTGCATTACAAGCTATTATAATTTAGTTGATAATATTAAGTTAATATATGTTTAATAAAATATATAATGTTTACATTTATAGTATATAATAAACAGACTAAAATTCAACAGTATATAAATTAAATCACTTCATGATTAGTGATTAGTCCTGAATATACGTATTTTTAGTGAGTGAATTATAATTTATATCATTAAGTGTTTAATAAAACCATGAATTATTATAATTAAGGGTCTAGACGAGATGAATAAAATATCTGTGTAACTATCATTACAGCTACCTATCGTATAATAGTACATAATATCATTATTATTGTTTTGTGAGCATTGTCTACTCGTTACTGTTGGATATAGTTGGTTTGTATCGATATTTTTATTCGGTAATCTATTTATTTTACATAAAGTATTGCAATATCCTTCTATAAATAGAATGTATAACAAAATGCTTATCAACAAATAATACAGTAAATTAATATATTATAATAGTGTAGTAAATTTTAGTTATGTTAGTTTTCAAAGTGTAATGTAGTATACTATATTGTAATATCTGATTTCAAACAATCATTTTTATATAACTAAATTCATAGTTATATATATATATATAATGACTCGTGCTCGAAATCGTATGTTTTATAATACGAGTGTATGAAACTATTTTTAGGAATAAAAGTTTTAATGCATTAAGCTAGTAATTTTTAACTATAAATTTAAGTATAAAATGCGAGTTCTTCTATTAAAAAAGGCACATTTTTTGCAACAATTATGTTAATGTGATGCTCGTAAATTATTAGTATCCATTGCAATAGGTAACATTTTTGTTAGACTCTCAGTTGTTTGGTTAAAGTTGATATATTCAACTCTTCCCTTATGATTTAGGAGCTCTACACAAGTTAGGTAAATTATAATAATGATATTCATCATTAATCTTCGTTTGAATTTTTAAGTTTTTCTTTTTAGTTTTCAAAATTAAATTATTAAAATGATTTATTAAACAACAAAATCAGAGAATTCCGATCAGAATCAATCTAGATATTTCAGTTCCGGAATTATAGCGTTTTAAAGTTATTTTTCGATAAAAATGTTACGTTTACAGTCTTTCCTCGTATTTCAGTGTTTAGATCTTAAATTATTATTAAATTAAATTATATCGAATTATTTTAGATTATTTAAGTATAACTACAAATTATTTACTAATTTAATAAAAAGCTTTAGTTAATGAACATTAAGCCAATTTGATATTGAGTTATATTTAAAAACTTAACATTAAGGCGTTGGTATGAAAAAGAGAAATGTGACGAGCCAAAAATTACAAAATATTATCAGGTACGTTTTATTTTCTATTTTGGATTCCAAGAAATGACTTGTAACAATAGATTTCAATACTAATACAACTTAACTAATACAAGTAAGTTCGCTTATTTTTAAAAGAAGTATTCTTAATGGAGTGAATATCTTATAGACTTATTAATATGTAGTCGGCTTATAAAGTTGTTCACTAAATTTAACTCACAATCATATATTTTACTTAGTAATATTCGATAGTGATTACAATACGATGGACTGTTATTTTATATATATTTTATCTAATATTTTATTTATTTATATATAATGCAATAATAAATGTATATATTTTTTGGAAATTTGAATTTCTAATTTACCTATAGCAAGTTTTTTTTTTTTTATTCTAATTTTGTGAACTATTTATTTCTTCATAAACGATGATAAGTTGAGAAAATATAAAAGATAAATTGTTTTACATTTTAATGTTTTATTGCTATTTTAATGTCATTATTCAATTATTTTGTTGGAGGTTTTCAATATATTTTGAATGAATGAAATCGAATGAATTAATTTTAATCATAGATTAATTTAATAAAAATGCCACATATTTTATCAAATTTAATAATTTTAAAAGTATTAACTATAAAACTATAAACATTGCCACATCTGTGGATCCTGCCCCAAGACGGAATTCTTACGTGATACCTAATGTTTACTAAAAAATTCGTATCGCCCTAGCAAATTTATTTAGAGCAAGAAGTTGAGAGGATTTTGAAGAAGTACACTGCGAAGTGACTGAAGAGGTCAGAGTCGTAGAGCCGACATCATAGTAATCGACCGGAAGAAAGGACGAGTCTTCATTTTAGATCCCACAATTCGGTGGGAAACTAACGATTTGTTACAATAGAGGGGTAGCCAGACTTTATTTTCTGAGTATGCAAGAAAGTTATACCATACATGTATTTATTTTTACACATATATACAAAAGAGAACTTATAAAGAAAAATAGCTGTCTCCAAAAAAAGGAGAATATAAATTGTTATTTCCATAGGCGTTCAAGGTATGCAGTTGTATACTCTGCAACCACCCAGACTGCGCTTACGTTTAACAAGATGTCAAAGTAAACGACGAGAAAAAGTTCATATACGTGTCATGTACTTCCAGCCTAAATCGTCTGTACATATAGAAGAGTGGGAAGTCATTGGACTTCATAACCAAGGTTTACTGCCGAGGGGTCTAACAAATATATGTTTGCGTTGCAAGACGAATTATACAAGAAATAAATTATCACCTTTATTTATTAGTATTTTAAATTCTAATTAATTATTGGTTTATTGGGACGGATTTTAGGTTTTTTTCTGGTGTTTAAGATTTTAGACAATCCATTTTAAAACTGTAAGTTGCTAGATAAAAATATGTTTATCATTTAGCTTTTAATTGATATTATATCTCCTTGATTAAATAATCAATAATTTAATTCCTTCATCTAAAATTAATAAGT